TCCCCAATGTCTATCACCCAGGCACCCAATCCCTCCCACCCCCCACCACTCCAGCCACCCTCAGTTTGTTTCCTGAGATTAAGAATTCCTCATATCAGTGAGGTCATACGATACATGTCTCTGACTGACTTATTTCAATAAATAAGATTCTTGAGCAAGCCACCACTAGATCACTTTGCCATCCAGCTAACACTTGAGTTCTTTCCTTTCCTTTCCAAACTCCTCAAAAGAGCAGTCTATTTTCTAATTTCTCTTCCCCAGGCAGGCTCTCATGAACCCTCTCCCCATCAGGCCTACAGGAACTGCTCTTCCCAAGTGCATCAATGATCTCCACATTGCTCAATCCAAAGGTCAAATCCCACTCCTCACCCTCCCTGACCTGCCAGAAGCATCTGATGCAGCCAATCAGGCCTGTGGATTCTCTGGGCTCCCGGCAGGCAATCTCGCCTTTATTCCTCCCAGGCTGGGTCCCGGGACCCCTCTGAGAGCTATACTCACTCCCTTTGTGCTTTCACACAACCTCATGGACTTTAAGTACCAACTGCAAGCCAAGAACTACCAAATTTACATCTCAGGTCTCGACCCATCCTCCATACTCCCCATACTTCCTTCACAGTTCCTTGGGGGATATTCAAAAGGCCTTTCAGGCTGAAATGTGGCACTCAAAATGGAGCTAATCTTTCCAGACAAACCTGCTTCTCCCTCTATCTTCCCCATTATACTAAATGGCCATTCCACTGTTCCAGTTACTCAGGACAGAAATCTGGAGTCACCTTGGATTCTTTCCCTGAAACTTCAGGTCTTAACTATCTATTAGCAAGTCGTGTCAGCACTACCTTCCATGTATACCCAGAATCCAACACCATCTTGCTATCATCCTTGTCTAGAATCTCACCTGGGATTTTGTGTCTTTTTTTTTGTTTTGCTTTTTAATTTTATTTATTTGACAGAGAGAGAGAGAGACAGCGAGAGAGGAAACACAGGCAGGGGGAGTGGGAGAGGGAGAAGCAGGCTCCCCGCTGAGCAGGAAGCCCGAAGCGGGGCTCGATCCCAGGACTCTGGGATCATGACTTAAGCTGAAGGCAGTCACTTAACCAACTGAGCCACCAAGGCGCCCCTCACCTGGGATTTTGTAATAGCTTCTTGCCTGTTCTCCCTGCTTTCATCCTTGATCTTCTATGGTCTATTCCTAACACAACAGCTGAAATCAAGCCCCCCACCCCGAGACCCTACAATTTAGACCTATGGCTCCTAATTGCCTCTGACCAGAGTCACGTAGCCCTTACTTACTGTTTAAAAAACCTGTAAAAATGCCTCTGGGAATAATACAAACTTGCCTTTCAAAAAGTCTGTGGGATGCTGTTCTGCCTGAGATAAAAAACACAATGTGCTGTGTTGGCATGAAAAAAAATAACTTGCAGCTTAGTGATAATCACGAGATGTAGAACTTTTGCCTTTGTATTCTAGAGAAGACACTGCTAACGCCAACTGCTAAGAATGTTTTTTTTTAAAGATTTTATTTATTTATTTGAGAGAGAGAGAATGAGAGAGAGAGAGCACAAGAGGGAAGAGGGTCAGAGGGAGAAGCAGACTCCCTGCTGAGCAGGGAGCCCGATGTGGGACTCGATTCCGGGACTCCAGGATCATGACCTGTCTGCTAAGAATGTTTTACAGTTCTAGGCCCCTAAAGTGGAACAACCGGGTCCCTGAAGCAGAACGACCACCTCACTACAATCACCCTGAAACCAGATAGGGAGATGCCAGAAGGGAGAAGATGATCAAGAAGGGAAATGTTACAGCTGACCTAGCCCTCATCAATCAGCATGATACAAGACCCTGAAACCCTTCCCCTGAATTTCACCCTTTAAAACCACCCACTTGTAAGCCAAAAGGGAGTCCAGGACTTTTGAGCATTAGCCCCGTTCTCCTGGGAGGCGCCACACCAGCAAATAGTCTATCTTTCTTCACTGCAAAAGCCTGTGTTAGTTTTTATTGGCTTGCTGCACACCGGATGGATGAACTCTCACATGGTTGGCTACAAAGCCAGAGCAATCCTTTTTGGTTTGTTTTGGTTATGTCACAATTCCATCCTTTTTATAGGACATTTTTCCTTCCTGCCTTTTTTCCTCCTTCATGCCACTAATTTCTTTGAGAAACTAGGTCATTTATCCTATAAAATGTCCCACACTTTAGGTCCGGCCGATTGTTTCCTCAAGGTGTCTTTGACTTGTCCCCCTGATCCCTGTATTTCCTGGGAACTGATAGATTCATGTTAGGCTTGGTTAGAATCATGTTCAAATTTTTAGGCAAGAACACTTCTCAAGTGATGCTGCAGACCTCATTACCTCACATCATGAGGCACATCACAGCTGGCTGCCACCATTTCAACAATGTCAAGGCTGTCCATGGCTTCAGATGATGGCAGCCTGATCCCTCCATTTTATTTCCCCACTGTCTTCCCACTCTGTGGTTGCTGCTTAGATCCATTTTCTCATCAGGGGTGGCAAAACAGCAATTTTCTCATTCTAGTAATCCTTCTGTAGCTACTAACTAGAATTCTGTAAAGAAGCCTACTCTCATTAACCTTCGGGTTTTGCAAAGATATAGTTTATATAGGCAAGGCAGGATAAATGCTTGATTTTTGCCTTCACTAATTTTTAAACTGAGTTAATGCTCTAACAACCCAAATATGTGACCAGTGAGTTCCTTCCCCTCCCCTCATTATAGACGCATGAATTTTTATATATTTGATGTGTTTTCAATTCACTGCAGTCATTACTCTTCTGGATGTCCCAATTGTTCTACTGTTAGTCTATGAAAGTCCTCTGGCTCCTGAGTCCTTCCGACACAAGCCCATTAACCTTTGTTAATGTCCTCACTTTCCAGCACACTGTATCCTAGGCCTATGATGTGCATGATGTGCATATCCTGCTGTAGACCAGCCATATCTCCAAAAAGCCTCTGTTCCTTTTAGCCAGGAAATAACAGAGCCCACAATTTGGGCACTGGGAATACTAAATGCCATATATTCTTGCTGCTCACTGCTTCTAACTTTTCCATAAATGAAATGAGAAATACATTTAAGGTTAAAAAATGTCCTAAGTCTCTAGGGATATTTACAGTTCCAATCTCAGATTATACGGCTTTTATCTCATTTCTTTTATATTTGTAATCTTTTCCTTGACACTGAAAATCATGATTCCTAATGACACTGCATGGTTACTTGCTTTATCTCACAATGTAGCTACAATAGTTTCAACATGACAATTCCAACCCTGCCACTCACCATAAGGCTAATGAATGCAGGTTTCTGATTTCCTAGCAGTTCTCTGTGTCCTTAGAATGCGTTCCATTAGGGACGAACAGTCAAATACTGTATTTTAAAGTTACTTGAAGTAAATATTTTCTCTGTGTAGTCATGGCTACAAACTTGTTTGTTTCAGTGTGTCTTAAAATTCTGGGGATCACTTTCTTCCTTTTTGATTTACTTGTGTTTTTTTTTAAATTATATAAAATATTTCTATGGTTCCAAAGTTTAAATTGTATAACAAAGTAAATTCACTAAAGTATTTTGTTCCCACACTGTTGTCTCTATCCCAGTATGGGTAACCACTTTTTGTTAGTTTTGGATTTATTTTTTCCATTACTTTTTCTTGAAAACAAAAGACACACACACACATACACACACACGCACACACACATACACACACCCCCTTTCCTCCCCAAAGGCAGCACAGAATGAACCAGAGGGATCCCATTAAGAAGTAGGTGTGATCATATCACCCTCACTCAAAGCCAGCAGCTTCTCGCCTCCACTGGAATAAGAACGTAAAGCCTTTATGGGTGCAGCCTGCAAGGCCCTGGGGTGTCCTCCTTGTTACCTCATGACCTAATCCTTCCTACTCTCTCTCTCTCATGCTCATCAACATATCACAAGATATATCAAGTTCATGGGTGGGATGACTCACATTATCATAACCATGACAATTTTCCTCAATCTAATGTAAAAAGTCAGTGCATTATAATAAAAATCCTAGTAGGCTTTGACGTGGAACTTGAGAGTTGATCCTAAAATTAGTAAGAAAGAGTAAAGAAGAATAGCCAAGATGATTTTAAAAAGAACAGGAATAAAAAAGATCATCCTTTTCCATATATAAAGACTTAAGAGATAAGGGAGCCTAGCGGGCTCAGTCAGAGGAGCATGGATGGGACTCTTGATCTTGGGGTTGTGAGTTTGAGCCCCATGTAGGGTGTGGAGATGGCTTAAATAAAACAAAAGACTTAAGAGATAGATCATAAAAGTAGGAATAGTAATAAACAGCTAGCATTTACTGAGCTTTCCCTATTCCAGGCATTGCTCTAAGCATATTACATTACATATTACATTAATATTGCTCTAAGCATATCACTTAATCCTCAACAATCCTATGAGGAAGGTACTGTTATTATCTATTTACAGATATGAAATCTAAGGTGTAGGGAGGGTAAGTAACTCATTCAAAAGTACAAAGCTAATAGCAATGGAAGCAAAAACCTGTGCAGTCTGATGGAAGAATCGGCTCGTTCTTACCTGCTTCATTAAATCACAATTAAAACAGTGTGGTATTGGCTCAGAGACAGAAATACAGACCAATGGAACGGAGAGCCCAGAACAGACCTGAGAAAAAATGAGACCCTGCTCTATAATGAAGGTAGATTGATAATCAGTATAAAAAAAGATAAAGGATGGATGAATCAGCAAATAGTGCTACAGCAATTAATTATCCATATGGAAGATGACAAACTGAAACCTTTTTCACGCAATTTGTAAAATTAAACCCAAGATGTATTAAAGACCAAACTGTAAGCTACAAGAATAAATTAGGCTAAGTTGAAATTAATAACATCTGCATAAAAAAAAAGGGACCATAAGCAAAGCAAAAAGACAAGCTATAGACTGGAAGAAAGTAGCTGTAAAGTATATAACACTCAAAAGATGAGTAAGCAGAACCTACAACAATGTCCACAAATCAGTATGAGAAAAGAAAAAGCCAAATAACCCAACAGAAAAAACAGTGAGGGATGTGAACCAGCTCAAAAGCAGAAACCCAAAGACAAACAAGCATTTGAAAAGATGCCGGGCCTCACTAGGAATCAGTGAGATACAAGTTAAGGCGACAATGAAGTTAACCACTCCACACACATCCAATTGCTGAGGAGGACCAAGTCTGGCAACGCAAAGGGCTGAGGAGGCTGAAAGAAATGGGAACTGAAACATCAGCATATAAACTGGCACTGGAAAGCCCTGGACAATCCTTAATAAGGATGGAGAGATGAATACCTGATGACCCAACAATGTCACTTCTAGGAACCAGACTGGAGAATCTCTCAGACTCTTGCACAAGGATCTATGTTTAAAAATGTTCTCCGCAGCACCATTTGTAATTGCAAAAATGTAGAATAGTCCATCATTAGTATTAGTACTGACTACTACTGAAACAGATCAACTGTGCCTATTCATACAATGGCATAGTGTACACAGATAATAGATCTCTACGTACCTACAAGGATAAGCCTCAAAAATATACTGTTGCATTAAAAAAAGGAAGCTGCAGAGGAAATGTACAGTATGACATCATTCATAAATTTCCTAACTACACAAAACCAGAACATTTCTTCTTTGTGGGTATGTATACGCACATTTCTACAGGTAAATAGACAATGAGAGAATGGCGACCTTGTATCCATGCAGGACCCATCTCTGAGGAGGAACGGTGGCAGAAGGGAGGAAAGGTAGGGCTTGAGCCGTGTCTGGGCAGGTGTGGAGCATGCTAATACCTTTTAAATCTGGGTGGTGGGTACTTGGGTATCTGTTCATGTTTTTATAAATGTTTTATATTTAGTGTTTCTATGTTTCAAGTGCATACATTTATAAAAATTTCCCATATCTCATGATGTCTGCCCGGTCTAGTTCAGAGATGTTTTGAGGGTTAAAAGAAATGCCTTAAGTGGAAGTTCTTGGTAAACCATATGGTACTTATCAGACACAAGGCATTATTGCTCATAATCCACACAATAAAATCTGGTCTTAGGAGTCTCCCACAGCTTTTGGTCCAAATCAATATGATTTTGATAACTCACATGTTTCACTGGATTTGATTCTGAGTGACTCCTGGCTGTTTTATATGTTAATTCCAACCGCTAAGCACGAAAACCTACTATCACTAAAAATATTCAGTCAACTCTGTTGCGAGCTTTGAAGACAACAGTGTAAAGGGAATTCTGAAAGTGTTCTGAGCAATCACAGCACCAGCAGAATGAGCTTACAGGCCCTCAAAGCAGCTCTTTGAAAGAAAGAACATTCACACAGCTGTAGTGCCCCAGGAACAGAGCATCAGTCTCATTATGTTTCTATGTTGATGGCATCTTCACATTTGTCAGTTTCCTCTCCTTCCTGAGATTACACGTCTAATAAGGACAGTGGAGCAGGACAGGTAAAAGAATGGTTCTGCAGTTGTCAGACTGCTTGGGTTTAAACCCTAGTTCTGACCTTTGCTAGGTGTCTGACTCTAACTGATTCAAGTTATTTAACTCTAACTGATTCAAGTTATTTAACCTTAGTTTCCATAATAATAATATGGTTTTTTAAAAAAGAATTGAGGGGTGCCTGGCTGGCCTAGTCAGAAGAGCATGCAATCCTTGATCTCAAGGTCATGAGTTTGAGTCCCACATTGGTCGTAGAGAGGACTAAAAAAAAAAAACAACAAAACAAAAACGAAAACTAATTGAGATAACACACGTAAAGCACTTAGTCCAGCACCTAGTATGTTAGACCACCACAATTGTTATTTGCCGTTGCTGCTGTTCTTGTTACTATTATTATCACTGTCAAGAAATATCTCATTTCCTTGCTATTGCCTCTGAAGACCTCATGAGTTCAGAGGTCAGCAACTTGTTTTCTTAAAAGTCAGATAATAACTATTTTAGGCTTTGCACACCACACGGTCTCTCTGCGGGAACTACTCAACTCTGCCTTTGAAGCCCTGAAAGCTGCCTTGAACAATACATAAATGAACAGGTATAACTGCATCCCAATAAAATTTTACTTATAACAACAGACAGCAGGCCAAATACGACCTGCAGGCCAGTTTGCAGACCCCTAATCTAGATGATTGTATCTGCTAATTGCATGTGATTTCCACATACTGCATATATTTGCATAGCTTCTGCAACATGTTGTCAGGTTAAAAAGCGATTTACTCCTATGTATAGTAGCAGTCACTTCTTTTTTTCCTATTCCGTTATATTCTCTATAACTGACTTAGCAAACCCAGAATACCAAGCAGACCCAAAAAGTGACAGAAACTCAAAGTATATCAAGGGTCATAAGAAAGCTTCACCACAGCATCGTCTTGGTACAGATGTTAGGCCTTTATTACTGACCAAAAGCTAGTGGCTTCCTCTAATATAAGCAAAATTATATATAGAAGCCAGGTTTTCTTTACAGTCTTAGTTTCTTTTCTGCCCTCCTTATTTTCCAACTTGATGTAGGAAAACAGTAACAAGGAAATAGAGAATATAATGCTGTTTCTTTAATCATATTTATAACTAATTTATAAATCCCTTCCCAGCACAATTAGCAGACGCGCTGTGCAAACCATTGGTAATCACATTCAGCATATTCCTAATAGCAGCTTCTATCCGCTGAGCCCAGCCTTTCATGTTGCTTCTGCCCTCCACCGCCTGTCCAGCCCCCTTCGCTACAGGGAGGGCCCAGGACAGAGGCAGCAGCATGATGGCCAGCCTTCTACTTGGGAGTCCAACCCCACCTTCTGTGGGTGTGGGGCTTGACGACATGGACAGGAGATATCAAAACCACAGTCGGCTGCACCCACCTGCAGCTGGAGGCTCAGGGCCCTGTGCTTCACAGCTGATGCAAGCAGGGCATGGCCCACACGCACCTGTCCCAGTTGCTGCCTCCACTGGCTCCACCACAGCCTGCCAAAGAACAAATCAAAGATGGAACCAGTCAAAAAAAAGCCACCCAGAAAAGAGAAGGGCAGTGAGGGCTGGGCCTTGGACCCTCGGCTCAAGTCCCTATCCCTCACTGTGCCAGCTATCTTAATTGACATCAGTTGGAGCCACTGCTGAAAAAAACAATCGAGAAATAGTTCTAGAACAGCCAATTAAGGGTTGGAAACTGATGGTTCCTAAGGTTCCAGCCTTAGAAACTATAGACATGCTCTATTTGGAACTACACAGGTTTAAAAAAATATATTTATGAATTATTGCCAACATTAAAAAAAAACAGAAGATTTTACAGAATAATCTGCAAAAATATGGCTTTTAGATTTCCAGTTTTGGCTTCTTTTCTGCTTATTTTCTAATCAGCTGCAGGAAAATAGTAGTGAGGAAATGAGAGTTTGCAACCTCTTTTTTTCACCGAAACACTCACTTTGCCTGGTTACTCTAACCTAACAAAATCTTTCTGTCCTCCTAATCTGGGCCAGGCTTAGCTGCATCACTCACTTCAATATCTCAAACTATCTTGCATTACTACTTACCTTTTTAAGCATTTAGGGAATTACAAGTTCCCTGAATGCAGCCCCAGCACCCAGTGTAGTACTAGGAACGTTTTAAGCTCCCAATAAATATACACTGAATAAATAAAATTACGTAAAAATATCTCCTATAGACTCTAATAGAAATGCATACTTATTAAGCATTTAAAAATATTTGCCAGGATGCCGGGGTGGTTCAGTTGGTTAAGTGTCTGACTCTTGATTTCAGCTCAGGTCAAGATCTCAGGATCCTGGGATCGAGTCCCCCTATATCGGGCTCCCTATTCAGCGGGGAGTCTGATCCTCCCTCTCCTCTCTCTCTGCCCCTCTCCCCGACTCATGCTTGCGCGCGCTCTCTATTTTAAAAATTTGCCAAATAGGGGTGCCTGGGTGGCTCAGCTGGTTGAGCGTCTGCCTTTGGCTCAGGTCATGATCCCGGGGTCCTGGGATCAAGCCCCACATCGGGCTCCCTGCTCCGCGGGGAGCCTGCTTCTCCCTCTCCCACTCCCCCTGCTTGTGTTCCCTCTCTCGCTGTGTCTCTCTCTGTCAAATAAATAAATAAAATCTTTAAAAAAAAAATTTGCCAAATAAATTTTAAATAAAAATAACTTAAAGAAGTTATTTAAAGAATTTTAAGGTGTACTGATGTTCTGGATACCGTGCTAAATACTTTAGATATTACCATATTTATTTCCCATGACAACCCTGAAAGACACTTAATGGTGTGCCTGTCTCACACATGAGGAAAGTGAAATGTGGAGAAGTGAAAGGACCCAACACTGCATGTTGGAACATGGATTTGAGCTTGTCAGTCTAACTGAAAAGCTTCTGCCCTTATCCACACCACATAGAGAGTCTAGCTCTTTGAGCTTTTAATATGCTGCCATTCAGGACACCAAAGGACCACCAGAGATAATGTACAGTGGGATCAGTCCCATTATAAAGCAGCTCATTGTTACACATGCTTGGCTTTCAAAGTCATCTAACTCATGTCTCTCCAAAGTGTGGACAGTGCTGACGAAAGGCTGTGCAGAACAGTTAAGAGCATGGGCTTTGGCATCAGAAAGATGGGTAGGTGAGCCCTATTTTGCCAATTACAACTTATATGAGCTTGGGCAAGTTACTCAACCTTTCTGAGACTCTTTGTGTATCTTCGTCTTTACAAAAACAGTACTTAGTTTAGTTTATGGTGACGATTATATGAGACTTTACATTAAAAAAATTAACACACACAAACTTAACACAGGGTTTAGAACATAGTAAGTACTTAATTAGTGTTACTTCTGATTGTGTGAAAACCTGATTGTATAGTGGAACAAGCTGTCAATAAATATTTATTAAGCATCAATTATGTTTGAAACACTGTTTTTAAGGTGGGTTTTTAATGCTTCCTGAAACAAGGCTGGGGTAAGACAATTGCGGCTGATCTGTAGGGCAAAGGAGCACACTCACCACAAAATACTCCGCTGCCTAAACTCCAGGGCGGTGATCTGCATCTGAAGTTTGGTTCTACGAAAAACCACGTAGATCAGCCAGGACTTCCAGGCCTGCCACATCTTTTGCCTTGCATCTAGATGCACCAGAAAGATTTTCAAAGAGGAGTAGGGAGAGATACATTACTCTGGGTTATGATAAAAGCTCATGGGCTCTCTGTATTCATCCCTCCTTTTGAAGATCTAAATTCCTCCAGCCTTCAAGTGCCCCCTGGTGGAAAAGTTGTGAAGCTCTACAAAATAAATCCGGATGCAAGTACCCGTGAAGAATGGCTATGTAAGTGATGACATCTACAAAACACAGGAAAATCAATATACTACACTGTCCAGAAATCTTTTGTCTTAAAGTCCTTATTTTTAGAGATATGTTCCATAATATTTACAGATAGAATGATATGAATACAAAGAGCAGAGGCTTAAGACTGGTCTGAGTTGGTAATTGTTGAAGCTGAGTGACAGGTACATGGAGGTTTATTATTCGATCTTTCAATTTTGTAGATATGTAAAATTTTCCACAGTAAAAAGTTAAAAGAGAAGAAGAAATCATGTCATAAAACTTGCTGTTTTGAAACAATAAGCAACACAAAAGAAAAGGATTCCATCTATATCTATTTGGAAAACAGAATAAAAAGGATCAGTAATGATCCTGGAGAAAAGAGACTTTACTAGATACGGAAACCGCAAAGGTCCACAGGTCTCCCTTTGCGGTAAATTGCATTTTTATTATCAAAGTCTAATGAAATAAATTTCTGTTCTTTTTAGAACACAGAGGAGAAAACAAAATTATGTCAATCATTTTCGGGTCATTCTCCAAAATGTGGTCAATACGATGAGAGCTATATTTATGTTTCATAGCAACTGACAAGTCAGGTTAAAACATGGAGAACTTAACATGTAGCTTCCTCAAGCCCCTTGGGCCACACTGCTGTGGTTTAAGAGTTTGGGTTCCTACGTGAGATAAACCAGGTTTGAATACTGAGCTGAGTAACCTCGCACAAGTTCCTCATCTGCAAAATGGCGCCTTCCTTAAAGGTGTGTTTGCCAAGAGTAAATGAGATCATTGATGAAAAGAGTCTCCAATAAATGCAAGCTGTTATTTTCTGAGGGTGGTACCCAAGAATCTACAATAATGGTCTCCGCCATGATTCTGGACAATCTGAGAACCATGCTTCCCTAAGGCCTGAAAGTACTTGTTACTTTTTTTACTTAACAATACAAGAGTGACTGAAAACTATAGAACACTCATGAAAGAAATTGAGAAGACAGAAAGAAATGGAAAAACGTTCCATACTCACAGGTTGGAAGAACAAATACTGTTAAACTGTCTATGCTTCCCAGAGCAATATATACATACAATGCAATCCCTATCAAAATACCATCAACATTTTTCACAGAGCTGGAACAAATAATCCTAAAATTTGTATGGAACCAGAAAAGACCCTGAATAGCCAAATGAAAGTTGAAAAAGAAAACCAAAGCTGGGGGCATCACAATTCTAGACTTCAAGCTCTATTACAAAGCTGTAATCATCAAGACAGTACGGTACTGGCACAAAAACAGACACATAGTTCAGTGGAACAGAATAGAGAACCCAGAAATGGATCCTCAACTCTATGATCGACTTCTTCGACATAGCAGGAAAAAATATCCAACGGAAAAAAACCAGTTTCTTCAACAAATGGTGTTTGGAAAATTGGACAGCCACATGTAGAAGAATGAAACTGGACCATTTCCTTAACACCATACACAAAAATAAACTCAAAATGGATGAAAGACCTAAATGTGAGCCAGTAATCCAACAAAATCCTAGAAGAGAACACAAGCAGCAACCTCTTTTACTATGGCCGCAGCAACTTTTGGCTAGACATGTCTCCAAAGGCAAGGGAAATAAAGGCAAAAATGAACTATTGGCACTTCATTGAGGTAAAAAAGCTTTTGCACAGCAAAGGAAATAGTCGACAAAACCAAAAGATAACCTATAGAATGGGAGAAGATATTTACAAATGTTTTATCAGATAAAGGGTTAGTATCCAAAATCTATAAAGAACTTACCAAACTCAACACCCAAAGAACAAATAATCCAATCAAGAAATGGACAAAAGACATAAACAGACATTTCTCCAAAGACATACAAACGGCCAACAAACACATGAAAAAATGCTCAACATCACTCAGTATCAGGGAAATACAAATCAAAACCACAATGAGATACCACTTCACACCAGTCAGAATGGCTAAAATTCACAAGTCAGGAAACAACAAATGTTGGTGAGGATGCAAAAGAAGGGGAACCCTCTTATACTGCTGGTGGGAATGCAAGCTGGTACAGCCAGTCTGGAAAACTGTATGGAGGTTCCTCAAAAAGTTAAAAATAGAGCTACCCTATGACCCAGCAATTGTACTACTAGGTATTTACCCCAAAGATACAAATGTAGTGATCTGAAGGGGCAACTGCAGCCCAATGTTTAAAGCAGCAATGTCCACAAAAGCCAAACTATGGAAAGAGCCCAGATGTCCATCAACAGATGAATGGCTAAAGAAGATGTGGTAGATATATACAATGAAATATTACACAACCATCAAAAAAAATGAAATCTTGCCATTTGCAATGATGTTGATGGAACCAGAGGGTATTAGGAAACAAGTCAATCAGATGACTTACCATATGATTTCATCATATGTGGAATTTAAGAAACAAAACAGGAGAGCATAGAGGAAGGGAGGGAAAAATAAAACAAGATGAAATCAGAATGGGAGACAAACCGTAAGAGACTCTTAACCACAGGAAACAAACTGAGGGTTGCTGGAGGGGAGGTGGGTAGGGGGATGGTATAATTGGGTGATGGACATTAAGGAGGGCACGTGATATAATGAACACTGGGTGTTACATACAACTGAGGAATCACTGAACTCTACCTCTCAAACTAATAATATACTGCATTAATTGAATTTAAATAAAATTAAATTTAAAAAAACAGTGCAAAAATGAACAGACACTCCCTGAGGTCTGTAGGCATGGCCTGAGACAATTGTCATATGTCAAAAAGAACTCTTCTTTTTTAAAAATTTATTTTAGAGAGAGTGCCCGCACATGCACACAAACACATGCATGGGGGGTCGGAGTCTTAAGCAGACTCCACGATCTCATGACCCTGAGATCACAACCTGAGCCAAAACCAAGAGTCAAACACTTAATGGACTGTGCCACCCAGGCACCTCCAGAAACAACTCTTTTTATCTGAAGAATTCAAGTGACTTTTCTTTCTACTCCACAATATAGCTGTATTTATTTGCAAATAATATAAGGTAGCAGAATGCATATTCCTCAAATATGGAATATTCACAAGATAAATGTTCTAAAACAAACAAAATAAAACAAATCTTAACAAATTGTTTAACAGAACTGAAATCATACTAAGTCTGTTCTCTCATTCTTAATGGGGTAAAGTAGAAATTAATAAAGATATTTTGAACTATTTCTATAAATATAGAAAGGTATTAGAAAGTCCCCAATTGGGGCGCCTGGGTGGCTCAGTCGTTAAGCATCTGCCTTAAGCTTGGGTCATGATCCCAGGGTCCTGGGATCAAGCCTCGCATCCGGCTCCCTGCTCAGCAGGAAGCCTGCTTCACTCTCTCCCGCTCCCACTCCCCCCGCTTGTGTTCCTCTCTCGCTGTGTCTCTCTCTGTCATATAAATAAATAAAATCTTAAAAAAAAAAAGAAAGTCCCCGATATAAGACTAAACACACTTCTAGATAATCTGTGGGTCAAAACGGAAGTCTTAATGGAAACCAGAAAACATTTCTTAGGGACGCCTGGGTGGCTCAGTCGGTTAAGCAGCTGCCCTCGGCTCAGGTCATGATCCCAGAGTCCTGGGATCGAGTCCCACATCAGGCTCCCCGCTCAGCAGGAAGTCTGCTTCTCCCTCTGCCTGCCATTCCCCCTTCTTGTGTGCTCTCTCACGTGCTCACTCTCTCTCTCTCTGGAAAATAAATATTTTAAAAAAGGGAAAGAAAACATTTCTTATTGAAAGCAAAATTGCAAATATTAAAATCTGTGGGGTGCAGTTAAAGCCATGCTTAAAGATAACTTTATTACAGTAAATGTTTGTGTTAGAACAAAGGAAAGTCCTCAAATCAATAATCTCAGCTTGCATCTTAAGACACTAGAATAGAGGGCGCCTGGGTGGCTCAGTTGGTTAAGCGACTGCCTTCGGCTCAGGTCATGATCCTGGAGTCCTGGGATCGAGTCCCACATCGGGCTCCCTGCTCAGCAGGGAGTCTGCTTCTCCCTCTGACCCTCTTCCCTCTCGTGCTCTCTCTCTCTCTCAAATAAATAAATAAATAAAATCTTAAAAAAAAAAAAAGACACTAGAATAGAAAAAAACAAAACCAAACCTTGCAGAAGTGAGAGAATATAAAAACAGGAATAGAAATCAAGGAACTCGAAAACAGAAAAACAACAGAGAATGAATGCAGAAGCTGGTTATTTGAAAAGAAGGATAAAACTAATAAAGCTCTATCCACACTTATTAAAAATAGAAGGCTAAAGACATAAATGATCAATATTAGAATGGGAAGAGCTACCACTACAGACCCTGCAGGCATTAACATTAAAATGGAATACTTCAAATGACTCTATACCATAAATTAAACAACATATTTAAAATGGACCAATTCCTTGAAAAACAAATTACCAAAACTCATTCAAGAAGAAAGAGGTAACCTAAATAGTCTTACATCTACTCAAAAACTTGAATTCAAAGTTCAAACTTCTTCAACAAAGAAAACTCCAGGCCCAGATGAGTTCACTGGAGAATTTTACCAAATATTTAAGGAAGAAATAATACGAATTCTACAAATCCTTTTTAGAAAATAGAAGACGATGAAACACTCCCCAACTCATTCTATGAAGCCAGTATGACCCCGAACCAAAACCAGACAAGGACATTATAACAAAAGAAAAGTACAGGCCAATATCCTCATAAACACAGATGTAAAAATCCTCAACAAAAAAATTAGCAAACTGAACCCAGGAATATATAAAGAATGGCATTAATCTGAGGAATGTAAGGCTGG